CGGGCCCGCCTGCCTCTGCGTGCGCGGTGCCCCCCAGCCACAGGCGTTAATCCTCCAAGAAGGGACTTGGAAAGCGGGAGCCCTGTGCCCTGCTCTTCCCCGGCGGTGCCAGCGAGCTGGCGGGTGGGGAGAGGTGCGGAGGAGCGGGAAATGCTGCTGAGCTGAGTCTTCTCCCCCCAATTTTTGATGCAGGCTAAGGCCGGAGGAGGCAACGAAGCCTGCGACCGGACCGGGCGCCTCTACCTGTATCACTACAACGAGGAGCAGCCTTACATCCCGCTGACAGAAATCCAAAGGATTGACACTCCTGCCATCCTAGACATCAAATGGTAACGCTGGCTCGCAGGGACGTGGCGCTCGCGGTAGCTGGAGACCTCAGTGTGCTCTGCCACTGCGAGGCCTTTTTTGGCTGTTGGCCTGGCTGCAGCAGTAATATCCACTAACTAAACTGCCCCCGACCTGCTGGAGGCAAACATATTCCTGCTTGTGCCAATGAGCAAGGACTGGGCTCGTTTCTGTGTTACGGTCTCCTGCTTGCTTATGGGCAAGCAGGATCAGTGACTGATCAATGACCGTGGATGTCTTTCGCTTGTTTATTATCTTTCCCCTTCTGTGCAGGTTTGTGGGAACTTGAGGAGCCTTAGGTTTTCTTCATGAGGTTTTTTTTTTTTTTTTTGGTCAAGTACCTTCTCCTTCCTGCCCTAGAACAGAAGTTATGACTAAGGTTTCCTCCTTAAATGCAAGACAGAAGTGTATTCGAGCCTTGTTTAACTGTTGTTCTTTTAGGTGCCATGTTCCAGTTGCAGAGCATCCCATGGCTGGCGTTGCAAACTCAACAGGTGCTGTGGAGTTCCTCCACCTCACTGGAAGTGAGGTAGGTGGCTGTAGCGCCTGCTGCTCTTGAAGCTATCTTTAACGCAGATTTAATACATCTCTAGCTTTGTTAGCAGCGTTCAGAGACTCTGCAGGAAAGCTATATGTGTTCCAGGGCTTTCTCAGTGTGCTTAGCTTTTCAGTACTTTTTCTCTTGTCTTCTGACAACAGTTCTCATAAATTCCACAAATTTCATTGTGGCCCCTGAGAACCTGGCTGGGCTCTAACCATCTGCAGAGTGTAGGAGAGAAGAGGGATGAGGGGAGCAGAAGCAAACTTTGGAAGCTCACCTGAGAATAAGTATGGACTAACAAGTAACGTTGCAAAATTGTAAAAAACAGGGAAAATTTTTGGAGAGGGGGTTCTTTCAGTTGATGAGGGAAGGGACTAATCAAGAGAGCCGTTTCCAGGGAGCGGAGAAAACGGCAGCCAGTCTATGAGAGGATTTAGTGATTAGATCATTTCTCCTGTGCTTCAGGGCTCACTGAGAGGAAGTAAAGTTCAAGGGGAGTTTGGTGGGAGATGGGAAGCAGAAGGGTGGAGATCCTGTGTGTGCATATGTTTGCCCTTCAGCTAGTACTAAGCTGTCATACATTGTCACGGGACATTTCATCTCTTCTGCAGTGCGGACAACTCCAATGTGCTTGTCTGTCTCTGGAAAACCCCGGCCATAGGTGTGAGTAGAACAGATGCTATTTACCTGCTGTCTTCCCAGTCTTAATCCGTTCCTTTTCTTTCCAGTAGAAGAACAGCTGCATGTTGGAGCCATGCTTCAGGGTTGATCTAGGTGCCCAGCGTCTTGCCTTGTCCTTAGACTGGTCCACAGGACGAGAACAATGGTGAGGATGAGGGAGAGAGTGGTTGCTCTTGGAGGTTGTGTGTGTGCATGTGTGACCATTCACAGACAAAACTTGAGGACTTTGACGAATGAGCTCTTTTGGCTTTTTGTGAAGCGGCTTAAGACACTCTTGTTCCCAGCTGTGTCCCAACACCTTTTCTAGAAGTTACTATTTTCAGAGCAAGGGTGACGAAGGAACAAGAGCGTAGGTTTTGGCTGCTGTAATAAGAGCAGAGACTAAATCAACAGCAAATGTGAGGCCGTGCTGCAGTGAGTGGTAGTGGGGGAGACAAGGGACATGTCTTCTGTCCTGTCGCCTTTGCTAAAAGCAAAGACTGGAGCAGGGTGCAGCTTGATCCACTGGATCCAACTGAGTTTGTCTGCTCTTAGAACTGCTGAAATTGTAGTGTGAAGTTCTACTTAAGAGCTGCTAATAAGGAAATAGCATATGTAGGAATTTTAAATATGGTTTCGTGAGAAACAGGAGAGAATTGGTTTGGAAGTGGTTTCTTCATCTCACAGATGCTCAAACACTGGATATCAGAAAGCCTAAGAAAGGGTTAGGACGTGTGTTTTCTATAAGTGAAGTGCAAACAGAGTGTTGCATGCAGCATGAGGCTGGAAACTGGGCAAGAACAGGACAGTATTGTAATTAATGCTTTACGGCAAGTAATTTAGTAGCTTTTACTAATGAAAGCTGTTTCTCTTTAATGAATAAGTAGAACTCACAGTTCTACTTTCTTGTTCCTTACATTCCTTCTTCCACTTGTCTCTTGATCACTGCCCTTCAAGATAAATGATAATTGCCATAATGAAAAGTCCCTTTAAAGCTTGTCACTGATGTATCTTCAGAGACAAATGGCCCCTTCTCGATGCTGAACATGCAGCCTTTGCACCTCGGTAGAACTAGTGAGTGGGAACGCGGAGCTGGGGGGGGGTGACCCCATCTCTCTAGTGTGTAAATCTAGGAGATTCAGTATGGTTGGTAACTACCATGTCATGTGGAACTGGAAAGAAGCCCTGAGTCATGTACCTACAGTTGCAGGTAACCAAACAAAAAGTATCATTTTCAAGACAGGGGTGTCAAAAGATCCATGTGCTGAACTGCAAGATTTTTGCCAGTGCTTTATAGCAAATTATATCCATAAACTGCAAGTGTACTGTGCTACAGAAAGAGAGCAGGAAAGCTCGGGATCAGCTAGTGCTTCAGATGCCTGTGATAGCAGAGAAATAAAATCTGTCCTCATACTCCAGGAGAGGGAAGAGACTCTGAGAGGTCCTTGTCAGTCTGACCTGGAGGAAAAAATTCCTTTTTACATAGAGTTTATTTATTGATTTAATATCAAGCGTGTCAGAAGTCAAGTTATGCATCAAAGGGAAAAGAAAGACCCAAGACTATGTTTTTCTTTCACTTGAATGTGAGCTGATGGCTCCCTCTGTGAGATCAGAAAATGGGGATCATTAGTGCTGATGATTTTCAGATAGAATGGACTGAAGCTGAAAAGGACTTTGTAAATGCACGCAACGCTTCCACTTCACTACCAGTTTCTCTCAGAGTTTAGTTGAATCAAAGGTATGCAGTAATATGTTGCATTATTTATCCATAGTTTAGCTGTTGGTTTTTACTCTAGCAACTTCTCTAGGACAAGAGCTTTTAGTAATTTCTAACGTTTTCTCTGTATTCCACTGTAGTGGATGTCCTCTGAGAGTGATCAGCAGTGATTCAGAGGGGAAGCTGAATCTGTTCTCCATTGATGAATCTGCTCCTTCTGTGCATGTCCTGAACCAGTGGGAAGCTCACAGATTTGAGGCCTGGATTGCTGCTTTTAATTACTGGGACACAGACATTGTGTATTCAGGTCTGTGAATGCTGAGAATCTCAGTTGTGGGGTTGGGAGGTGGGTAGCTTATTTAGGGATGCATCTTCCTTGGGATTTTGCTTTCTGGGATTGGGTACACTGCTTGCATCACACCTCTTATGAGAGTGGGTGCCTCTGATAGGGGTGAAAGGCTTCTTGATCGTGGGAAGTGGTTTGAGTTAAACTGGAGAAACTGTATCTTTTAAACTGTGTACTTTGGCTGGCGACTGGAAGAAAGGATGATGATCTCCTGTGATTTGCAAGAGATGACTGGGAGTCAGAGAGCTTCTAGATTCCAGTTTTGCTTTGTTCCAAAATTTTTTGCTTAGCAAAGAGGGGTGGTTGTTCATGCGTGTTTCTTTTACGGTATGGGGAGTACTGTGAGCTTCAAATGATGTTTGGTATGTCTGTTAAATGCTCTGAGATCCTAAGGGAGAAAAGCATCAGCTCTTTGTTACCTGCTTTGCCTCAGCTAGAATTCTTCCTCAGTCCCACTTTGTGCTGTGGTACCTAGAACACTAGTGTCCTTTAGTCCACCAAAAAGAGGTTAGCCCTGCTGTGAGTGCCTGTATATGATTGCAGTGATGTGTCACTCCTGACGTGTTATGTAGAAGCCCAACTGAGGAGTCTCTGCCCTGCACTGGTCATTTGGATGAGGATTAAGGTAGCAATATTTTGTCTTTGTGCAGGAGGAGATGACAACCTGCTAAAGGGCTGGGACACAAGATGCAGTCCTGAGATTCCTGTCTTCACCAGCAGGAGGTAAGCAAGCTGTGTCTGCAACTGGACCATACAGCTGTTGTATGTGAAAGGTACCAACCAACCGCTCATTCCCAAACATGAGGATGGTGGTAGCTTCCTCATAAAAGAAGGGTCTTGATTTACGCTTTGGGGATTTTTGTTCTTGTTGTTGAACTTAGCCTGCCATAATTTAAATTATCTTTATAGAAAATATTGTATTTTCCACTGTTCATTCATTTGAAGTAATCTTTTTTTTCTGGTGGTAAAATATATATCATAGAATATGATTACAACAGTATGCACAGCTCTTCAGTGAAATTTGGTATGTAACCTTAAAATACACGGAGCCTTATTGCTGTGGAATTATCACTGTTGGGAGGGAAGTCTCCTGGGAATGCAGTTGCTTTGCTGAAACTCCGATGGGCTCTGAACAGCAGTGTATGGTACAAGAATTACTACTGGAAAATATTCTTGCTAAGAGGCTGTGTGGGTAGAAGTTTTGCTCTGGAAAGGTGGTTGGGCTGTGTAGATGGAATTCTACCTGTGTTATATCGATTGTTCTGAAATTTGAGTTCACTTTCCTGTCCTTCCCTGAGAGGCTTTGGTGAAGTGATGTAGAACTCCAACTTCAAGGAAGACTCCAGTCTCAGACTGTACATCTCTCTTTTCCCTCTGATGTATGTTGTTCTTCTGCAGACATTCAATGGGTGTGTGCAGTATTCAGTGCAGTCCCCACCGGGAAAATCTTCTGGCTACTGGCAGGTAAATCCTCTTTAACTGCTCTTCACTAGATGTGATCAGCCTCCTCTGTTATGTTGAATGCACAACTGCTTCTCAAGGTGTGGTCTCTTTAGAAATCTAGTGTGATGAAGACCATGTGATATTTCCTAATTTTCTTCTGTGCTTGGTGCACTGACGCAACTTTGCAGCTTGTCTGCATATTTACTTGTGATATGTCTCCAGCTATGATGAGCACGTGCTGTTGTGGGACACCAGGAACATGAAGCAGCCGTTGGCAGACACCCACGTTGAAGGTGGAGTCTGGAGGTTAAAGTGGCACCCAACTTGTGAATTTGTGCTGCTAGCAGCCTGCATGCAGAGTGGATTCAAAATCCTTGACTGCCGTGGAAGCATGGGTGAGTGTTCAGTAGAACAGAGATGTTCTATCCTGGTGCTGCTCTGCTGCTCTCCTCTCCTGCCTTCAGGTTAATGGGTAAGCTCCAGCTCTGAACTTGCTAGAAAGATCCAGATGTTGTTAACAGTCACAGAAAATTATTCCAGCTTGAGGTAACTCCTGTAGCTTTCTCAGACCAATCCTCATAGTTGGGTAAATATGCTGTCCTGTTATTTATGTGTAAATGCCTGGTAACTATCTTTCACAAGAAGAAAGCCTGTTTGCTTTGGTGTAAAGGCATTAGCCATTGACGTGGCCATTCCAGTTTGTATTCATCTTGATGGTACAAAGAGGCTCTTCTGAATGTCAGATGATGCTCTACTGTTAGCAGAAGTTACTGACCTGCTGATGAATTGGTTATCTCGCCTCAGAAAAAAAGTGCCGTTCAATCTGGTTAATCTATCATAGCATGGATAAGCCTTTCATGTGAATCAGAAAGAATTTACCTGATAAATAGTTGCCTGTGGTTGCACTGCAAATACAATCTTGTATAAAATGGCTGCATTCCTGGGTCTCTCCAGGCCTTGGGCAGATTCACAGCCTGTGAAATGAGGATAGCATTTCTTCTGCATAGGGAAGGGAAGAACAGGTGGACTTTGATAACTCAGCAGCACTTCTTGATAGCAGTGTTTGTGACTTAGTGTTCTTCTTGATCAGCTCAGTGGTCCACTTGATAGAGTCAAATGCTCAAAGCCCGGGCGAAGAACACACCTCTAATTTATTAATAACCAGAACCTGGTCTAGCAATCTTACCAGTTGTATTAATGGCTCAGTGGAGATCACTGTGTGGTCTGTCTTTCTTGAGCCTTTGTAGGTATTTTGAATAAAGAGGCTTCTAAACCTCATGTGTGTTAAACCCTCTTCTCCTCCTATTTGCTCTCTGAACAGGGAAAAGACAAGGCTAGTGAGAGGTGGCTGAAAATTTGTCAGGAGGTTTACCTCTGTTGTGAAGAAGGCAGTAACCGGTAATATGGGTTAGGGGAACTCTTCCTGTATGACATAGGCTATATGAGAATGGCTTGTGAGCAGTCTACAATGTACTGTTGCACAACTTGATATCTGCTCGTTCCATTTTTTTTAAAGCGGAAAACACAGAAGAATGTATCATCCTGACATCCTATGTCTTGCACAACTCCTTGGCCTATGGGGCTGACTGGTCAAGGCTTTGTCCAAGGGATTCCTTGACTGTGATACAAGACTCTGCTACTGCGTGCCAGTCTTCTGAGGAGCCTGCAGCAAAATCGGAGGAAGGAGATGAGCAACTGAATTTGCAGGTCCAAAACCTGAAGATAATTTATGAGTCTCCTACAGCTACTTTTGATGTAATATTGGATGAGGAGAGTGAAGACCCTGCCTTGCCACTCAAAGCAGAGGGAGGTCCTGACGTGGCGCGGGGTCCTATATTGGCTGGGGATGCTGACCTGGTTAGGGGCCCGGATGTAAAGAGGAGCCTAGATTTGGCTGGGGGTCACAACCTAGAGGCAGATCTTGTGTCAGTAAGAGCTTCTGACTCGGGAGTTCTGAGACCCAACGGAGTGGGCCTAGACAAAAGTGGTAATTCAACTAGACCATTAGACAATCCAAAAGAAATGAGCATTGTAGCAACTTGTTCATTCTATGATAATATCCTACATGTCTGGAAGTGGGAAATGAGCCTGGTTACCCCTTCGGAGACGTCCAGTACTAGTTCTCAGTCAGAAAACACAGTTTTACTTTAACCTTTTTGAAAGTCTGCCTTGACAGTCCCAATGGAAAGGGATAGAAAAATTCCTGTACTGAGAGCAACATCTGCAGCTTATGCCCTGTCTAATTTTGGTTGGGATTTTTCCAGTTGTTACTGTTGAGTTTGTGAGTCTTTAAAGGCCGATGCTGTTGGAATCATTGCTGTTTTATTTCCAGCACTGAGGAAAGCCTTTGCTGAGGAGTGTGGTCAAGCACAGACACGTTTGTTTAGTTTTCCCTGAATGTACTGGTTCAAAGTAGGACAGCATTCCTCTCAAAGGTTACTTGTTTGTACATTATGTTTGAATCCCTTCAAGGCTGATTTGCATTTGTGTGACTGATCTGTTAAGCCTGTTCTCCTTCCAAACCAAACCAAACCTGTCTGCAGTACTACATATAGAAAAGCACACACCATGTGGTCAGTTTTTCCCCGATTGTTTTTTTTTTTTTTTTTCCAAAAAAAGTCCATGAGTAAAGTTTAGATGTATATGTAGCTTGCTGTGCAATTGGTAAGCTAGTATGTACTTTGAGAAGATGCTCAAGGACAGTCAAGATGCTGACAGAGCAATTTGCCTATGGAGATCTTGAGTAGAGAGAGATTCTTTTTTAGAAGGAAATGCAAACTGACTGATATGACAGATTGCAATTCAGCTACAGGAAGTTTTGTTCTGAGCAGGGCCTTTCTTGTAAGGATTCTGGTGTATCTGCATAGTCTAATTTTGCAGCAGACTTATCACCTGGATATCATCTCATTTCATCACTCTCCAAGCTAAGCACAACCTGGTTAAGCATAAATTGTGTGGTCAGTCCTGCTATATTTTAGTGCCACACTTTACCAAAAATCCTCACACCTCTTGGTATCAAACTCATAATTTCTGCTATCCATAGTGAGATATTTAGGTCCAAATAGTGAGATACTTAGGTCCAAAGTCAAGATTTTTTTTTTAAAGGTCAACAGCTTTAAGATCAAAACGTCCAAAAAGTTTAAGCAGTGTTTCCTGACATCTTTTAAGTTCAAAACAAATACATACAAAAACCAAAATCTTAACAACATTGCCCTAACTACCTCCAGGAATGGCTGCAGAATTTCTCATGGTTACTCTACTAGCTTTCTTTTTTCACTGTGAAACATCAGCAAAACACCCTGCTTCTGGAACATTTTCTCTGTGCTCTTAATTATCTTCCTAAAAACAAACAAACAGAAGTTTCAACTCCATAATTTTCTTCTAGCTTGTATGGTTTCTCTTTGAGAGTCCTAGAGGGTTAGTTGCCTGGAGGAAAAGAAACACCAGCAACAAGTATCTGTAACAGAGCTGTATCTAAAATGCGGTACAGCAGATGAGCATCTTACTGCTTTGAAACCCGTTTCTCAAGGGTGAACATGTATTTTAGAAAACCTTCTTGAGCACTGTTACATGGAGATTCACATTAGTATTGTGAACAAGAGTTTTGGTTTAAAAAACACACCCTATTTTTGGATGTTTCTAAAATAAAATCAATATAAGAGATTTATCTGGCTTGGTAGTTTTTATTTAAAAAAATGATTGGATTGCTGCTAAGCTTATAATCACAAAGCAATACACACTTTTTGTGTGCATTTTGTATAAAGAACCATACTGATCCAAGACAAAGGGACAAATTGAGAATACAGCGAGTGGGACACTGCGTGAAACATATGATGGCTACCGATGCACATACTTTGCTGCATCTCTATGCACTTCCTTCTTTAGATCGCTCTTGTGCTTATGCTGTATGACATGTTTGCATATGCCTTCCCCCCCGCCTGCCCAAACCATGGATTGATTCTTGAGCCCTCTGCGCTGAACTGTGCCAACAGCAACTCCTTTACTTGAGGTCATTTGGGACTGTCGATGATAACACCCCCCTTCAGCACTCAGTGCTGCACTAAGTGAGAAAACCACTATCACAACTGCATCCAGCCCTGATAAATTTTTTAAACTATTTCATTAATATTACAGACCAGATGCTCACAGAGAGCACACTAAAACATGCTTCCTTTCTCCAAAAGTGAAAAAATGACATTGCAATCACATTCTCTGATGGTTAGGCTTTGCAGTACTTCATATGTGGAGAGCCTCATGCAAAACCACTGAATTTGGGAGAACTATAAACTTCATACATAGAACTGTCTCATAGAAGAACCAACCATTTTGCTCAGTGACCACCATACTTGTGTGTCAGAGAAATTAAGTTATTTCCAACTATTTAAAATATTTAGAGTAAGTGCTTCTTTAAACAGTTATACAAAACTGTCTACATAGGAGTGCCTTGCACCCATCTCATTTGATGACTAGTAACACTGCTTTTTCAGGTATGTATGTTAAAAGTAGAAATCACAACGATTGAGGTATGTTTCAAAATTAAGCAGCCACCTTGCAAAAATAGTTTAGAACTTTAAGCAGCTGCACTGCTAAGGAATAGACATTAATTGTACCTATTAACTCTATCTTCATTTAATTCAAAAAGAATGATTAACTTTGAAGCTTGGGAAAGCCTGCAATAATTGTGACATTCAATATAAGCTACAATTCTCTCCTGCTCTCCTCAGAAGGAGACCTTAGGGTAAGGACTTCAATTTACTTGTTGGATGTCCCGTTCCTTTTGTTTTACACTTCATTTTAGCTAGGGTAATACAAATTCATTTAAGTGTTCATTTAAGGAGCCTTTTTTGACCGCTATCCCTGTTGGCAGCAGCGGTAGCAGCAGTATCTGGCTGTACTGGGGTGTGCTGTTTCAGTTTGCACAGCTAGGAAACCCTAAACTCTCCCAAGGAGGTAATAACTGCCCTCTCTAGTTGCCCAAAGGTAATGCACATTTGCTTCACCAGCCTAGAAAGAGAATCTACCTCCTGCAAATCATCAGCGCCTCGTCAGTCATCTCTTGTCTGAAAATAGGGCACCTATAGGGTGCACGCACACAACACACACCTGTAAGGAAGGCATGAGATTCAAGTAACTTTCTTTACTCGCTGATGGGAAATTAACAGCTTCCCTATAGCAATTTAAATCAAACATTGCAGAAAGACAAAACAGGAGGATTTGCTTTTAATAGCCAGCGAAAGAAAGCGTCCCATGTTTGCTGGTGCAGAACAAGTCCCACACGAGAACGACGCTCGTCCTAGCGTGCTGGGGGCGCCGCCACAGTGCGGCAGCCCCGAGGAGCCCCATCCCTTGCTCCCTAGCGCACGTAGTTCTTGGGGAAGAGCTGGAAGAGCTTGCCCTCCTGCGTCGGCTCGAAGCCGTACTTCTCCAGGCGGCTCGGGTCGAAAGTGCCTTCCTTCACGTCCTTCTCGATGCTGGGGGCCACCACCTCGGTGAAGAGCTGCTTGGCCGTCATGGGCGGCTCGGAGCCCTCGGGGGCGCGGTACGAGACGTAGGGCTTGAGCTTGAAGCCCTTCAGGTCGGGAACGACGAACTGGGGCACCATCTCCTTGATGAGGATGAACTTCTTGTTGGAGGTGAGGACGCCCAGCTTCTTGGCCCCGCGGCCCTTGTTGTAGCTGCGGGGGCCGCGCTTGCTGGTGAACGGGGCTATGCGGTCAGCGCCCCGCACCAGCCCGCGAGCCAGCTCGCTCAGCAGCCCC